TCATATACTTTCTCTCTAAGACTTTAACAAAGTCAAATTTTATATTTTCATATACTTGCTCTCTAACTCTAGCCGCTTTAAGAGAAAATCAATTACTTCCTCTTGTAAGACCTATTTCTCAATCCTCACACTCTTTGTAAGCTTAATCTCCCTTAATATTTTTTTGATGTATTTTTGTGCTTTATCCAATGTTTGTCCGTATTTGTCCTAAATGCTAAATATTTGTCTTGTACTTAATCCATACAATATTTTCACTTGAAAATATTATTCCTTTGTTATGGGGTCGATTGCATTAGTCTTAATCAAGATAAGATTTTTAATTCAAAATACTGTTGTGGGGTTGAGTTAGGTCGGGGTATTATTTGATGGGGTTGTTTGTATCATGCTTTTGTTTACAATTATAATGATATTTATTATTTTTTTTTTTATACAGATTGTAGGGTAATAATTTAAGATTTTAGAGTATCAAAGCGAAATCAAAAGAGCATAAATCGGGTGTTATAGTTCCTTACACTTTTATAATTATATTATTTTAGCAAAATAATATTAAGGGCTCTAAATTATTTGTTCTTTAAATTGAAATATCTACTAGAAAGTATGAATCTGGATTTGAAAAACGTAAGAAAAATATAAAGATGAAAGAATTAATTTTATCCCAAAAATGTGCACTTGATAAATTTGTTATTAGTACAAAACACCAAATGCTAGAAAAACCAAATGAAGATTTAAATGAAAAATCAATTGAAAATTGTGAAAAAAATTTTAAAGATAACTATTCAAATTCATCAAATACTTGTGAAGAATATCATAAAAATTTAGAAGAAGATATTCCAATCGACAAGAATGAAAATATTAATGACAAAGATGAAACAACTATTAAAAATATTTATGATTCGGCACAATGGAGTAATTTAGATACAAGATTAAGTGATTTAATAGTTGAAAAAGGTCCGAGTTAGACAAGTTTTAGATTTTTCAAGAGATGAAAATTCTAGACACCGTTCTACAATTCATTACATTCGAAAATTACCAAATGGAGAAAAAACATGATAGAAAATGGTTAGTATATTAAAAAAAAATTAGATAAAGTATTTTGCTTTTGTTGTAAATTATTTAGTTAAAATCAAATCAATTAGCAAATAAAAGGTGTGGAGATTGAAAAAATCTAAATGCCAAACTTAAAAGTCACAAAACAAGCAATGAACATGCTATAAATATGAGCATTTGGGTTGATGTTAGGATGAGATTGCTTAAAAATAAAATAATTGATAAATGTTTACAAGAGAAAATAAATAAAGAGAAAGAGCATTGGAAGAATGTAATATTAAGAATTATTGTTGTTGTAAAAAAATCTTTCAAAAAATAATTTGGCATTTCATGATGCAAATGGGAAGATTTATCAAGAAAATAATGGAAAGTTTTTGAGTTTCATTGAAATGATTTCGAGTTTGATCCAATAATACAAGAACACCTTAGACATATTAAAAATAGAGAACTCCATTACCATTATCTTGGTCATAATATACAAAATGAGTTGATAAATATTTTAGCATTAGAAATAAGAAATGCCATTATTAAAAAAAAAAAAAAAGATTCAAAATATTTTTCAGCTATACTTGATTGTACCCCATATACAAGTCATTAAGAACAAATGTCTCTTATATTAGGATGTGTAGAAATTTCAATAAGTCAAATAAAAATAACGAGTACTTTATAGATTTTATAAAGTGGATGATACTTCTAGTCAAGGTCTTTTTAATGTACTTACAAGTATACTAAAAAATCTTGAACTTGATATAAATGATATAAGAGGATAAGGATATGATAATGGGTGTAATATGAAAGGTCAACATCAAGGTGTGCAAAAAGATTATTGGATATAAATTCTAGAACATTTTATACACCATGTGGTTGTAATAATCTTAATTTAGTTCTTTGTGATACCGCTAATTCATGTGCTAATGCTATTACATTTTTTGGAGTGACACAACACATATACTCATTATTTGCTTCTTCTACAAAACGATAGAAATTCTTGCAAGATTATGTTTTTAATTTGACACTTAAGTCATTATCACAAACATGTTGGGAAAGTCGTGTTGAAGTGTTAAACCAATAAAATTTCAAACTTCATAAACAAGAGATGTTTTATATCAATTAGCAAAAACTAGTGAAGATTCTAAAATAAAAAGTGAAGCTATTTCTTTAGCAACATATGAGATTGAAGGTTTTAAATTTCTATTTGGCATGATTATTTGGTATGGTATATTATTTGCTTGTTAATACGGTTAGTAAATATTTACAATATAAAAATATGGACATTGTTATTGCAAATGATCACTTAAAAGGTCTCCCTAGCTCCTGTAGAAGCTAAAGACCGAAGCTAAAAAACCCGGTCTTTAAACCCTTTCGGGTTTCTAGATCAAGTCAAAAACGGATACAAACAAACAAACCCGAGTTCGTCAAAGCCATTCGAGACCAACTTAGTAAGATAGGAATATCTTCCGAGGGAACCTCTAAGCATGTTGCTCCCGATACTCCTTTATCCAATAGCGTAAATGTTCTAGACCACAAATCGATGACAGAATCCGTCCCCGAAATTAATAAGTTTCATTGGCCAAAACAGAGTTAGTGTCCTAACTAACAAACAAAAACTCGTTTTAGACATAGTCAAGAGGATTGATGATGCTCAATTACAAAAGGAATATCTGGACGGACTCTTAAAGTCCGTAGAAGAAAACCCTCATAACAAACCAAAACCTTCTATCTTGCCTTCAACTAGTACTAGCACGTATGACCTTACTGCTATCCTAGATAGGAAGAAGAAGACCAAGAAACACATGACCACAATACAGGACCTTCAATCCGAGATTAAGGTCATCAAAACGAGCTTAAAGAGCTCAAAGAGAAACAAACCAGAGACTCCGGTCTCCTAAAAACCCTGTTGGAAAAACAGGCGGATGAAGAGCTCGACTCGACTCGAAAACCATGATCATGACCAAGAGTTACCAAACCTTGAAAACCCGGAACACGTTTCGGAAGATTTCCTGTTTGTACTTCGTGAAATTACTTCTAGGAAATATTTGATTAAGATTACTCTTGTGTTCCATGATAATTAAAAAATTGATGCAATTGCCTTGTTTGATACTGGTGCCGATCCGAATTGTATTAAACAAAGCATTGTTCCAAAACGTTTTCATATGCACACACATAAACGTCTCTCTCGCAGCAAATAATTCCAAAATGACCATACATGATAAGACGAAGCCTCCGTGGTCGACGAGTCACATTGCACTCAAAAATCATTTTCTCGCTTGTTGAGAATATGCATCATATGGTGATCCTAGGAACACCTTTCATAAATCTTGTTTTCCCTTTTCTAGAAGAACCTAAAACCAGGAATCTTAACATTATCCAAGCATGCTCCATTTACGACTTTGAATTGAAGGCCATAATTTCTAGCAAACAACGACATTTAATGCATTTGAAACATGATGTTTCTCTATACAAAATCCAAAGACAACTACACGATGAATTTCTAAAAAACAAACTTTTAAATTTCCAACACATGCTTGAAAAAAAGATTTATTCGATTTACCAAATGCCTTCTGGAATAGGAAACACCACGGTGTTGACCTACCCTATGAAATAGGATTTGATGATCGACAAATCCCTACCAAAGCTAGACCTATTCGGATGAATGCTAATCTAGAAAAACATTGTAGGATAGAAATTCAAGATTTATATATATATATATATAGAAAATGGGTTTACATCTTCAATGATCTCTACTAAAGAGATTGCAAATCAAATGAATATAGAACCAACATTTCATGAAAAACGTATAATAAAGAGGAAAAAAAAAACAATTTGATGAGAATGAAAACAAAGAGATGAAATTGCCTACCAAAGAATTTTTTAAAATAAATTATTTCACACATTTAGTTGATCATGTCATTTCCTCACTTCAAAGCAAATTTGAATAATATAAAATATATGAAAATAATTTTAGTTCCTTTATAATGTAAAAAAGTTAAAATTTCTTAGTGATGATAATTTGAAGAAAAATTGTTTAAAACTTGAAAAAAATTTTAAACATGATATACTCTCTCATATTGATGATTTAGATTTATTTTTAAAATTAAAAATTTTAAATGAAAATATAAACGTGAAAATTAAAACACTTATTGAAGTATTAGATTTTATAAAAATAAATAAATTATTTTTCAAATGTATGAATAGCTTATAGAATACTATTAACTTTTTTTTTTTTTTACTGTAGTTTCAGTTGAAAGAAGTTTTTTAAAATTAAAATTAATAAAATTTTATTTGCATTTAACCATGTCACAAAAAATTAAGTAATTTAATTATTTTATCAAATAAAAAAATTAGTTTCTAAAATTGAATATAAAAATTTGATTAGTGATTTTTCACCTCAAAAGATTAAAAAAAATAATAATTTTTTAATATATGTTTTTATTATTTGAGAGTCATCAAAATAACTATTGTCTAAATACAGAAATATTCGTGAGACGGCCCTGCCTGAAGCAGCTTGTAGACTGTTGTTAGTGGCTGATGGTAAAGGCGTATGGGGGGAGTGAATGACAGTCGTAGCAGCAGACAGCAGCCCACCTGATCGACTATGACTTTTAAAAACCCATGTTGTGGTTTTTTAATTTACTTTTTGAGATTTTTTTCAATTTTTTATATTTTTCAGATCACAACACGTGTCGTGTTTTAGATTACCACAAGCCGTTGAAATTAACAGAGAAATAATTTTTCTCTTTTTTTTAAGACAAAGAAAAGATCTATGATAGGTAAATTAAAAGGTTATACTTGTATTGCAATTTGACCGAAAGTTGGATGACCTTTTTAGTCCTTCATCCTACTTTTCATTTATGTATTCTTATCTGTTCATTTCCACTCCTTCCTCTTTATATCACTCGCTCCCCTCCCTCCCAAGCTAACAAACAGTAAGTAACTAGCAACCAAAATAAGCGATGGAATCAATAAATTTCCTACGTTTCCTCTTTATCTTTCTTAGTGGAGCTCTTGTTTTACTATTCATCACTTGGGTTCATCTCCCCTATGCTCCACGACCAACCACCACCACTGACCTCCTCGATTGCTCCACCAACACCAACTCCCCTTGGTGTACCTCCAAGAACCGTTTCCAATCCACCAATAATATACTCAAAAGACCACCAAATCGCAAGCACCACCACCACGAATCATCCACCCCTCGTCATCCTCTAGACCCCTTGACAATCTCAGAAATCAACAAAGTTCGTACAATCCTAAAATCACACACCCTTTTCAAGTCATCGTCTCCCTCCGCTTTCCACTCAATAGTCTTGGAAGATCCAGACAAATCACTTGTCCTTAAATGGAAAAAAGGAGACCCCATGTTACCAAGAAAAGCAGCCGTGGTCGCACGCGTGGCTGGCAAATCATACGTGTTAACGGTGGATATAAGCACAGGCGAGGTGGCTGTACAAGAAACTGGTTCTCGTTCAGGTTACCCCACTATGACAATAGAGGACATGACATCATCGACTTGGGCCCCGCTGTCAAACGGTGATTTCAACCGTACGATCATCGAGCGTGGAGTTGATCTTAAGGACCTTGCATGCTTGCCAATCTCTTTAGGTTGGTTTGGTGAAAATGAAGAGAATAGGAGGTTGATTAAGGTGCAGTGCTACTCCATGAAGGGCACTGCAAACTTCTACATGAGACCAATAGAAGGGTTGACTGTTTTGCTTGATATGGATACTAAAGAAGTGGTGGAGATATCAGATAAGGGCAGGAGCATACCTATACCAAAGGCAGCCAATACGGATTATCGTTTTTCTGTACAGGAAAGCAATCCTGAGATGATGTTTGTCAATCCAATTTCAATTGAGCAACCAAAAGGACCGAGTTTTACCGTAGAAGACGAGCACTTGGTTAAATGGGCAAATTGGGAATTTCACCTTAAACCCGACCCTAGAGCTGGTGTGATCATTTCTCGGGCTAAGGTACGGGACCCGGATAGCGGGGAGATGAGGAATGTGATGTATAAAGGGTTTACTAGTGAGTTATTTGTGCCTTACATGGACCCCACCGATGCATGGTATTTTAAGACGTACATGGATGCGGGTGAATACGGGTTCGGGTTGCAGGCCATGCCACTTGACCCGCTTAATGATTGTCCTAGGAATGCCTATTATATGGATGGTGTGTTCGCCGCTGGTGATGGAACTCCATATGTCCGATCGAATATGGTTTGCGTGTTCGAGAGTTACGCCGGTGATATTGGATGGCGGCATTCGGAGAGTCCAATTACGGGTATGGAGGTGAGGAGCTCTGAATCCGAAAATTTTATTTAATTTCATAGCTGGTATCTCAGCATGCTTATACTACAAATCAGCTAAACAAAACCAAATTAATTCCAACAAGTTAGGGCAGTTGGCTACAGGCCTTTTCTCTTCCTTAGGATAATAAATAAACAAATAAACAATTCAACTTGATAGTTTTATTTCCGAATCTATTCATGTAACTTATCCAAGTAAGTTGTGGGACGTCTACATGTTTTACTGAGCTGTGTCTACTTTTGTTTGATTTTTTTTTTTTTTTTGGCCGTTTGTTTTGGCAGATTAGAGAAGTGAGACCGAAGGTGACGCTAGTGGTTAGAATGGCAGCGTCGGTTGCAAACTATGATTATATAGTTGATTGGGAGTTTCAAACCGATGGACTAATCAGAATTAAGGTTAGTGACCCTGCACTTTTAAAGTCTTTCTTGGGATGAAGCCATCAAATGATCCAACGACACAATCTTCGATTCTATTCTTTGAAATATTATATACCTTAGTGTATTAGATTTTTCTTTGTTAGGGGAAAATATCTTTTATAGGTTATGGATGTTATTCTTTTGGAGTTTTCTTGGCCATCATGCGACCATCTAGCTACCAATAGTGCTATTAGATGTTGCGTTTGGACTTCTATTTGCCATTATGCAATCATCTACGACTGCTAATCAAGAAAGTATGTTGGGCTCAGGTTGGACTTAGTGGTATTTTGATGGTGAAAGGAACCTCTTACGTGAACACGAACCAAATTCCGGGTCAAGAAAATCTCTATGGCACCCTATTATCAGAAAACGTAATCGGAGTTGTTCATGACCACTACATCACATTTTACCTTGACATGGACATCGATGGCTCTGATAATTCCTTTGTGAAGCTAAACATTCAAAAGCAGCAGACCTCACCCGGAGAATCACCGAGGAGGAGCTACTTAAAAGCTATAAGAAATGTGGCAAAGACAGAAAAAGATGCACAAATTCAGCTTAAACTTTATGACCCATCCGAGTTCCATGTGGTCAACCCGACTACAAGGACTCGGGTCGGAAACCCCGTCGGTTACAAGGTGGTTCCTGGTGGCACAGCTGCTAGTTTGCTAGACCATGATGATCCTCCCCAAAAACGTGGTGCATTTACAAATAACCAAATATGGGTCACTCCATATAACCAGAGCGAGCAATGGGCGGGTGGGTTATTTGTTTACCAAAGTCAAGGTGAAGACACTCTTGCAGTGTGGTCTGAGAGGTATGGATTTCTATTCTAACGGAACTAAAATATTACTCTCGTAATTAATTTTTTTATCCTTGGAAATTTCCAGTTTTCCAACATTGATTATATTTCCAATTGAGTCGGTTTTCCTATTAATCTAAGGGTTAAAAAAAAAAAAAAAAAAAAGGGATTTGCAATAAAAGAAAAGGGAATATCGTGGGCTTGAATCTCAGAACAAGCAATCTGGTGTTGAGGGGATTTGGGCCTTGAATATTATGTAAGACATATTGGGCTCGAGTCCTGGAATAATTAATTAAGAGCTACGATGAACCAAGTTCATTTAAGACAATTATAAAATGCAATTTTTTTTTTTTTTTTAAACTACACAATTCATAATCAGCAGGCATGGAATTGGTTAAAGTTTCTATTTGATTAGATATTTCAATTACTAACAAGTAACAACCATGTTGATTTTTTTTATATTTTTATTTTGCAGGGATCGACCAATTGAGAATAAGGACATTGTATTGTGGTACACATTAGGGTTCCATCATGTACCGTGCCAGGAGGACTTCCCTATTATGCCAACTGTATCGTCGAGTTTTGATCTAAAGCCTGTCAACTTCTTTGAGAGCAACCCAATTCTCCGGATCCCACCTAATTTTGAAAAAGATTTGCCTGTTTGCAAGCCTGCTGCTTCTACTTGAACAACTGACTGTAGCTCTTCTATTTGCATATATGCGGTAGCAGTGTAAAACCCTGAAAATCAACCACGTAGATATATGTTTCAGAATAACACGCAAAAAACCGGTGGTAGTTTTAATCATGATGCTTTCCTGTTTATGAGGTTGGATGGCATTTGAGACTTACTTTTATTTACTGTGATCATTATCGCTTTTATTTATTTTAATTAAAATAACATATGAGATATATTTACAAATTAAAAATTAATTTTTACGTGCTTAATAATTACCTTTCATAGCTCACTTTTTTTTTTTTTTAAATGCTTCCAATAGGACAAAATGTGACTACTACTTGGGCCTATCTAACAGTGGACATTAGGAAAGTCATGTTGCAATTGCTCTCTTTATCTTGCGAAAAGATCACTAGAACTCTTAATGTGTCGCGTTTGGAACGGTGGCAACAGGAGACGTCTTATCAGTGTCATTTTAGAATTCAAAACGCATCAAAATGATCGATAATTGGTGGCATGACTTGCTCTTAAAGTTGTGCAAAAGAAAATACACAACATTAGAAATTGACTACGCGACTAAACTATGCAGCATAAATAGAGAAGATTATTATTTGGATTAAATCGAAAAATTATACCAAATCAAAATTATCGGATTGGTTCTTAATTAAAATTAAAAAAAGAAAAATGAGTCAACAATTTCTTCTTCTTCTTCTTCTTTTTTTAAAAATTTTTAGTTCGGTTTTAATTAAAAAACCATTTTTTTTTATTTTTTGAAGTTTTAAAAAATAATGCAAATAAAAAAAAATCAACATCTAAACCATATTATAAGTATATGATAGATCAATGGTGTTTTTGATCTATTTATATTATTTTAAAAAAAATTTAAAAATCAATTTAAACCAAAAAAACTGAATAGTAATTTAATTTGGGTTTGGTTTATCACAAATATTTCTCTCTCACCGGGCTGTGTGAAAAATCCAAAAATTAATGTATGCTTCTCCATAGTTTTAGTACAGAATTGAATAATAAATTTTAGTGTATATTTAATTTCAAATATTCTATTATTATAAACAATCTGAAAAAAAAAAAAAAAAAGATTGCTGGAATCACCAACTTTCCTCTCCTGTCTTCTCTCTCCTTAATTTTTTTTCTCTCTCTCTCTCCGCCAATGAAACTAGTGACCAAATTGCAACTCAAATGAACTTTAGGATTGAAATGAAAAGAACTCCAAAAGACTCTGAACGGTAATTGAGTAATAAACTCATAGAAATAACAAAAAAAAATCTCATTTAATAAGCAATAAATGAATAGTTTCTATCTTATATGAACAATCAACACCTCATATCTTTTAGATTTACTGTTAATAATTATTAATTATCAACGTAATCGTGGTTTTTTCATCATTCTCCGTGTTCTTATTGGTTAAAAATGGTGTCCAAGGTTAAAGCCAACCAAAGGAGGTTGATAAAGATATATAGGACTTGGACATTTATGTGTAACACCTTTTTGCTCCATCGAACTTCAATATGGATTTGAAAAATTCATAATTTTTGTGGCTATGTTATATGATGGTATCTTTTGGTAGTCTAAATAGCAATGACTTTTTAATGGTTGGTAGTTCATTTACTCGAATGGCATGTGTCATCTAATGAGATCCATGAGCTTCTACGATGATTGAACCATATCCACACAACCCTCTTTTTAGCCTATCGACATACCCCAGCAAAAGCATTGGGGACAAAATCACACTCAGAACATAGACAAGCGAACTCATTTGTACCACTAGAGAACACTCCGCAAAAGAAACCCAGTCAGTTATAATTTGGAGAATCAAACCAACCTCTACTAATTAAAAAAGATAAGAGTATATCTAATAAATAAGTGCATGTTTACAAAACTACTTTTGTCTAACCTGTACCAATAATGATATCATCATATTCTTTTAACAGTGAACTAACAATATTAAGAACACTTATCTCTCAACTAATATCAAAGGTTGTTGGCTGTAAGGAAATAGACTAGTTTGCTCTTTATTTTATGCAACCTGAGGAGTCTCTTGATTATATAAATACCCAAAATACCTAAAGTTAAGAGTTCTAAGTCTTTCATCTTGCTACTACCATTTATGTTCTTTCTTGTACATGTAACATTGGTTTCTCAAGCTAAATGATATAGGAGCGTGGTCCAAGAATCTTGACTAAGCCAAAAGTCATGATCATTTAGGCCAAGGAATTTCTTTTTCGACATGAGTTGAATTTACGTATTCAATCTAGGTTACCTTAACTGATTTAGGTTATCTTATTTTATGAGTTTAATTTGAATCATTTAGTTTCATGTAGTTGTTACAATAAGTTTATATATATTTAGAATTTTATATTTAATTTAGATTGTGAAGTTAAACCTTATTAAGTTTAGATTAGAATTAAGTCTCTTAGTAGGTTTAGACTAAAGTGTTTGTAATCTATGTTGGACAAGTTTTTTCTTAAAAAAAAACTAAACATCTTAAGAAGTTTCTTTCATACTTGTGAATCTTTGTGCATGTTTAGAATTTGTGTTCTATATCCTTGAACTTGATCAATTAAGGTGGTTCTATCAATCAATCAACCTAATCAAGAGTGTAGTAAGTTTTGATCTCACCAAAATTATATTACGTTAAATCAATTAGTTAGACTTTAGTGAAATTTGAATTAATCTTGCCAAAATTATATTAGGTTGAATCTTTCGTGGCCTGCTTATGGAGTGTTTTGTAGCGTATAACGAGAAGATAACATGATTTGTTATACATCAAAAACTTAAAAGATTCAAAAGCAAGTCGTAGGGCATTTTGTTCAGGAGGTTGCAATTTCGATCTATACTTTAAATACGGAAAGTCGAATTGTATAACCTCGCAGATTTGAGTGATGGTAAAATAGGCCCTGAACTTTATTTGTATCTTAGCGTTAGATAAGCTTGACCGTTCTTTTCCAGTCACGTTAACTATTCATTATATATTTTTTTTATTGTTTGATGATAAATGGTTTTTTTTTTTTTTTACAAAGAAGAAGTTCAAATATAAAACATCTTGATTTTCTACAAAACTCTTTAAATAGAAAACTAGAAAAAACTGATTTCACTTATAAATATGTTAACCACTGAAATAAAATATTAGTTTTTTTTTTTTAAAAAAAAAGACCTTGATAAAACAACTTGCTTCATTAAATATAGAAAAAAACTTAAAAAATTTTAAAAATTAAATGAAATTATAATAAAATAATTAAACAAAAATAATGCAATTTGTTATTTTTTTCAATTTATTTTGATTTTTTATTCTAAAACATAGAAAATAAAAAATAAGTAAAAAATATGAAAGGATTTATTAAACAATATGATTTTTTAAAATTAAATAATATTAAATTAATTCCAATCAATGTCGATCAAGAGATTAAAAAATAAAAAAATAATTAATTCATTTTTTGAAAATAAAAAGATTTTTATAATCTACTTGAGTAACTTGCTTTAATGTAATGACTTACAAACTATAAATTGTAATGATAACCGACATACTCTAGGATACTCGAGGAATCTCCGGACCGCTTTCATCATGAATAAAGTGGCATGTAGAAGACTATTGTCCTCTCCCAACCTCGTTCCTCCACTCGGACAAACAACGGTTGGAAAAATTTTCCAAAGTGAAAAGTTTCTTAAAATAGAAAGTTTTCTATTTTAGAAATCGGCTTTCTAATTTAGAAGTCGGTTCTAAATTTGAAAGTATACAATCTAAAAAGAAATTAGTTTCCTAATTTAGGTTTAAGGGTATTTTGAAAAATTATTTTCTAATGTAGGTCTCCTAAAATTATCTAACTTAATTTATTTGGATAATCCAAATTAATTAATTGGCCAAAATAGTTTGGGTCAATAATTTTAATTAAAAGCTTGAAAGATATTTTGATTGGAGGATAAACATGAACTTTATTAGATAAGGATGAATGTCTTAAAGGATAAGATAAAAAAAAAATCTCATATGCATTATAACTCCTAATCCTTGGAGTATTAGGAAGTATAACCAAGAGTCTAATTAGGACTAGTTGCCGCCCCTCTTGGTCCTTAGAGGACAAGGAAACTCTTTTCCTATAAATCAAAGGAGAGGTATAGCAATAAGAGTGATTTTAAGAAGAGAGAAAACAACGCAAAGGAAAAAAAAAAGGCTAGGGCACACAACATTGAACACAATAAAGAGAAAATAATTTTCTCCTAAAACCCTAGCACATGCCACCTTCTCTCTCCCCTTTTGGGTTGTCACAAAATTACCCCGATTAGATTTCTAAAGTATAAACAAGTAAAAAAGTAAAAAAAATCTATCAATTTTGAGTACTTCTTGTGTGGTGCTTGGATTGCATGGATTATCGATAAAGGCTAGACACTTGGATGACTCTTTTTTGTATAAGTTTAAGTTTGTGCTATAAGAGGTAATTCTTTATTTAATACTTTAATTCATGAATATATAGGCGAGTTGATTCAATAATATGATCTTCGGTCCTTTAGATGAAGAATTTTTTTTTATTTCGCTCCTCCTTGGGATGCATGATCCTTCACTCCCCTCTCTCTCCCACTCTCCTTTTCTCCTCTCTCTCCCTCCCTCTTTCTCCCCTCTCTCGCTTCCTCTCTCCATCTCTCTCTTTCTCTTTCTATCTCCCTTTCTTTCTCTTCTTCTTCCTTTTTTCCCTCTATCTCTCCCTCTCCCTTTCTCCCTCTCACTCTCCCTAACTCTCCCTCTCTTCTTCCCCCTCTCTCCCTCTCCCACTTCCTCGCTCTCCCTCTCTCCCTCTCCCCCTCTCTCGCCCCCATCTCACTCTCTCCTTCTCCCACTCCCTCTCGCTCCTTATCTCTCAAGTGACCACTAGAGCGCCACTATGAAATAGCCCATTCATAAAGCTTAGGACATTTCTAACAATTGGCCATAGGGTGTACACCTATTCCTCGGCTACCAGAGAGACAAATAATGCATTCATAAAGCTTGGGACACTTCTAATGATT